GTTTATAAATAAGCGTTTTAAGAATGAAGGTATAAAATAATAGATTAAATTTATGAATTGATAGATATATATACCCATCGTTTTATACTAGAATCGGAAGTTGCTGTCCAAATATATTTATTATCTAGAGCAATAAGCTTATTTTAAAAGAACAAAAATTAAATAAAATTAAATTATATACATAAAATATATACATAAATAAAATCTTCCAAGTTTTATTGGGCCTACCTTGACAACACCAGCCTCTTCTTTACACACCGCTATGCATTCACCATCTCGAATTTCTGCGCAACCACTATAATCAATTTTTGTAACCAATCCATCTTTACAACCAGCATAAAATGATTCCAATCTAGGATGATCTGAATAAAGAGACCATACAGAATCTGAATGAACCGTAAAAGTATTTATACACCTTTGAGCTTTCAAAGACCATAATTTAATGGTAGTATCAGATGACCCTGATAATATCTAAAAATATCAAAGTCGATATGGGTAACTTAATTAAAAACTTTTTATTTAAAAATTTGATCACTTACTAATTCACCATCATCACTAACTAATATAGCTCTAATGTTATCAGTATGACCTGTAAAACTGGTGATTTGTTTTGTTGAACGTGGGTCCCACAAACGAACCACCTAATAAAAAAGTCACTAATTAATGAAATTTAGTAAAATTTTTTTAAAAAAAAGTAAATATATAAAAAAGATTTACTTTTTCGGGAGACCCAGAAGCAATAACAGTTCCTATTGGATTACAAGCCAATGCATACACAGACAATTTTAACGAAGATTCTGCTATTGTCGCTTTAAAAATAAATCAAAAAAATGATATATAAGTATTAACGATAAATTAAATTTAATATTTAATCTTTTAATATTTATATATATATATTTACCTATAGGAGATCGTTCATAATCAACAAAATTAATAGAAGTAATTCCAAAAGATGAAGGTCTACATTCAGTTATATCCCATATAATTATTTTTCGATCAAAACCACCACTAGCGACCCAACCAGGACCAGGAGCATAAGCTAAAGTTTTTATATAATCAGTGTGACATCCAATAGTATAAGGACTGTTTGATTTATGAGGATGCCAGAGTTTTAATTTGCAGTCAGAAGAAGCGGAAATTACTATAAAA